CTGGGTGAAAAAGGCAAGAAACATAAATAAATACTGAAATCATGAGGTTAAAAAGTTCACAAGTATTCCTTCTGAAAATGATTAACCTGAATATAATCAAGCTTTTGTCTGCCTTTCTAAGTTAGCTGATTATTGTTTATGATGTCAGTTAACATATTCTTTTATCCTCTGGTTGTCCTACAAGCCAGCAACTGCATGTAAGAGCTTAATTGCAGCACAAGGAGCCCAATCTCTTCAATATTTTAAAATAGAATTTCTACTAGGAAACTGGGAGCTTTGCATTTTAATAGGGTCACAGTGATTCTTAAACACATTAAAATTTAAGAATTACTACCATACAACTTCTTGAGCAGAGAATATAACCAAAGTTTGATGAAGAATACTGACCTGGTAGTTGGGTGAAGTTAGGAAATAATTACAGTATTTCAGGTAAGAGGAAGATGTGACTTAGGTGGTAAAAGTGGTCATAGAAACATCATCAGTCTTCAAGTTTATTGTAAATAAACATTATCATATTACCTCTCTCTTTTTCTCTCTCTCTGCCCCCTCCTTCCAGGGACAACTAGAATATCAGTTGAATCTACTACACCAGCAGAAACAACTGGAGTGCCAGGCAGTGAGTTTGCATTGGGATTCAGAATACAGTAAATGACCAAACAATGACAGATGCCTAGTCTTTCATTCATAGCAATTGTATTGATCACAACCAAAGCCATTGAAATAGTTTGAAAAGGGGATGCATGGTGGGAATGTTAAAGTATTTGCCTTGACTTTCTGGAAATTTTAGAAATCAATATAATCCCAGCTACTTTGTATGTTATCTAGGTACAATGGGAGGGTCCATGGGACCTACCACTGGATCAAGTAGTGGAAGCACAGCAAGAGTATCAGGAACTGAGACCACCAGCCTAGAAAAGCCAGCAGGTATGACAAAGCACATTTTGCCTCAGACCAATGGTCCAACCACAACGGTCCCAGATATTTATAAGAAGTCTAATCAAGTTGTTTTTTTTAAATGACCCAAATAACAAAAGAAATGATTGAGCAATAATAAAATGAATTTAATAATAAACTCTTACAAAGATCGTTTGCAGAGTGACAGTAGAGGTAGTACCTCATTATTTTTCAAATTGGATAGAACTAGAAGACCAGAGCTAGCAACTACTTTAGTTTCAATGAAGTTGCATTTGGAGCATCATTCATATTTAAAACCTTGTCTAATTAGTGGAAATTTGAGCTCTTGGACCAAAATTTGATTTAATGACAAGTTTTAGAAGAATTCAGTTACAGTAAATAAATTAATAAAACAATTATTTGATAATATTTTGGCAAAACAGTGTTTATTGAGAACTTGGTATTGTATTAGGTGCCAGAGGTACCGAAAGGTGGTACTGTACTTATAAACCTAAGAATTTTTAAAGACGTACTTAAACACACGGAAAATGCAAAAAGTAAATAAAATACCACAAAGTCAGATGGGAAAATCGTACAGATTAGAGAAGAATTTAATCTTGAATGGCTGCTTCTAGGTAATTCTAGGAAGAATGACATTCATTGTTAGGGATATACGTGGGTTCTGTGTTTAAAGTCAAGATCATGACATTGTGTCAGTGCATTACTGGATTAATCTGCATGCCTCACTTGAGCAGGGGTTTAGTTACCGAACTGAGCAAATGCTGCTGGGCATACCTGTGTTCTGGGAGAGATTTCCAAACTTGTTTCAAGATACAGTGCTTTAAAAAAATCATTTCCTTTAACTTGTTTTTCTGTCTCTCTGAAAGTCTCAGGCACATCTGCAGTATCACCTGGAACAACTCTGGGAGGGGGAAGTGGTAGCACCACTGAGGAATCAGGCTTTGGAACCACAGGTCTTGGAGATCCAGGTAATGTTGACATGACTTTTGCAGATCTCAGCCATTCTTCCCTTAGCAGGGCGTGATATGAACTAGTATCCAAGAGGCAACTGATATTAGATTTCCAAGCAAAACGTAGGGAAGTTGCCTTTAATGCCCTGTACTTCAGAAATCTCCATTCTTTGCAGTCAGGGCAGAGTAGTGCCAAGTGTATTTGCAGCAATGAGATTGAGCCATTGTCATTGATAACCAGGAACTCCAGAAGTACCTGCTTTTACAACCACTATCAGCTCCGTGAGTGAAAACACCAATATAGCCTCAGCTGTGGCAATGACAACTTCTGGAAGCAAACTGGGTAAGTACAATGGAGTGCTTGCCAGGGGGCAGTATGGAGTGCTGCATCAGCATGGAGGACTAAGCAAGTCACATAACCTCTGGAACTTCTCATTTCTTACCTGTAAAATGTGAGCATTTAGTGGGATTGTGATCAGGATCCAATGAAATATAGAATAATATATGCCAAACAAAGCATGTTAAAAAATATATTTTGATATAGAAAAAACTGGATGTTTCTGTAATGAAATATATAAAGTGCGCACTGGGTGTTGCTACTCCTTACTAAGCAATGCTTATTTCTTACAATACTTAACTTTCTTCAAGGACTGAAGATATAGATTAAAAATAAATAGGTTGGTAAATATTTATCAAGGAATGGGAAAAAACTTGTTTGAAAAGTGGTAAAATAACATTCTTTAACATTTTTTACTAGATATATTGAATGCAACTTAAATGATAGAATAAGTTATGAAGCAGTCATTAACCATTGCAAAATACCATTTGTCAGTCATCATAACTTGCTTTAGCAAAAAATAAAAATGATAGTCATAAAAACATACAAAGTATAAAATGGAAAAGCATATATACATGTACTCAAATCTTAGAGCTATCCTGTGAAATTTTAATTATATTAGTAGTGATTCACATTTTATGTATGAAAAATAAATATTTACCTCTAAGTCAGAGGACTAGTGTGTTGTGTCCTCTGACACAAAAAAAAGAGAACATACTTTTGATTCTTCACCCACTCATTCTTTATTACTGGACAGGCCACCAACATGGTAGATTTCTGTGAAAGCAGACCATTTGTTAACCACCAGTTAACACTGGTAGTTAGTAAACTGGGTCTACAGCTGGTGGTTAGCAAACCAGGCTGCAGGTATGGCTCAATGATAGAGCACATGCTTAGCATGTGCAAGACCCTCCATTCCATCCCCAACGCCAAAAGAAATAAATAATAAATAGGATATCCCAGACAATACTATCACTTCACTTTATATTAGTGCTCTGAATCTTTTGTGAATTTGATTGGTTGGCTGGCTAGCTACTTCATTGTTATATCTGCCTTTCTATCTCCTCCATTTAGAATTTTCTAGGGTAGAGAAATCTCTAGCTATATCACCTTAGACAAGCTAGTTAATCTCTCTTTGCTATAGTTTCTACTTTATAAATGGCAAAGTAATATTACATGCCACATAGGATTGTTCTAATGATAAAATGAAGTAATACTTCTAAGTTGCTGGGAACAGCTTTGACATAAAATTGGTAGTAATGATTGTTAAAGTAATAAATAGAAGGGATTTATGCTGTAGCAAGAGAAAAATATGAAATAAGGTGGTGGCTATGGAGATGATGGATGAAAGAAATAATGGAGAAAGAAAGCAGCATTATTCCTGCAGATTAACCAAAGACCAAGCCAGCTGTTTAATCATTTTATTTTGCCTACTTGTTGACAGGGACAACTAGACCATCAGCTAAAGTAACAGAGACTTCTGGACAATCATCTGGAGTGACAGGAACAATTGGATTATCAACCAAAGTTTTAGTAACAGCAGGACCACTAGATAGAGGATCAGGAACAACTGGATCATCAGTTACAGTAACAAGAGATTCTAGACAATCATTAGGAGTGACAGGGACAACTGTACTATCAATTGGAGAAACAGGAACAACTGGGCAATCTGTTGTAGGATCAGAGACAACTGGTCCATCAACTGGAGAGATAGGTACAACTAGAACATCAGCTGGAGTTTTAGGTACATCAGTTGAGGGATTAGGTACAACCAGTTCATCAGTTGGAGATATAAGGACATCTGGAAAATTATCCAGAGTGACAGGAACAGTGGGGTTATCAACTGAAAGATCAGGTACAACTTCACTATCATCTAGAGAATCAGTGACAACTGGGTCATCAGCAGAAGAATCAGGAACAACCAGGCTGTCATCTAGAGTGACAGAAACATCTGGACAATCAGCTTCAGTGACTGAGACATCTAGACTATCAGCTGCTGTGACTGGGACAACTGGACCACCTGCTATAAGATCAGAAACAACTAGATCATCAGTTGTAGCAACAGGGGCAACTAGATTACCAATTGTAGTTTCAGAGACAACTGGATTATCAGTTGGAGAAGCAGGGACATCAGCTGGACCATCAACTGGAATTACAGTGGCCTCTGGACAATCACCTAGAGTGACTGGTGCAACTGGACCATCAGCTTCAGTATCAAGATCTACAGGAATAGTTTCTGAATTGCCAGAGACATCTGGACAACCAGCTGAAGTGACAGTTCTTTCTCCACAACCACCAGAGTGACTGGAAGTACTGGACCATTTACTGAAGGATTAGTAACAACAGGACCAACTAGTGTAGGACTGGGAACAACTGGATCATCATCTGGAAGTTCAGAAACAACCAGACTGTCAGATGGAGGAACAGAGAGAACTAGCCCATCAGTTGGAGTTACAAAAATCACTGGACCATCAGCTGAAGGATCAAGGACATCTGGACCATCAACAGAAGCGTTAGAGACAACTGTATTACCTGTTGCAGTATCGGGCACAACTGCCACCTCAGCTAGAATGACAGTGACATCTAGACAATCACTAAAAGTGACTGGAGCAACTAAGCTGTCAGTTGGAGTCATAGCTACAGGATCTGGGACAACTGTACCATCAGCTGAAGGATCAGGAACAACTGGATCACGATCTAGAGGATCTGGGACAACACGAACCTCAGCTGGAGGATCAGTTATAAGTAGCTCATCAGCTGGACAATCTGAGAAAACTTCATCATTGTCTACAAAGCCTATGACAACAGGATCATCTGTTCAAGTGACAGGAATAACTCCTTCATCAGTTGAAAGATTAGTGACAACTGGACCACCTGTCATAGTTTCAGGAACAACTGGACCACTGGGAACAACTACACTATCATCTGGCCTGACTGGTACAACAAGACTATCAGCTGGGGTGCCAGGGACAACTGGACCACCAGTTGGCACAACCAATGGAGAAAGAAGTACTACCAGAGAAACAGGAAGTGAGGTTACCACACCTGAAAGTAAGTCTAATTTGAAAAAGAGAGAGGATTTAATGTGGGTGATTGAATGTTTGGCCAGATTCCCATTATTTGAATCTGTACAGATTTATCACAAATAGAGTATTAACTCAAATTGGTGAATAATGAAAAGAACTTTCCAGAACATTATTATTTTAAATTGATTTTTCAGACTTCTTGAGAAGTTATTTTTAATCCTTAAAACAAACTCAAAGCCAAAAACCTGTTATAACCAGAGGATGGGGTGGGCGACAGGGGTTACCATAGATGCAGGCAGGGGAAGCACAGTTGGAGCACCAGGTTGTGGGTCACTGCTGCTGGGAACAGAATGGGTGTTGGTGGTGATCTGATGCAAGCATGACTGAGACTCAAATTATTATAATCAGATTATAATAAGGACCCAAATTTTTGGTGAAATGATTAAAAGATGATCTAGATTTACTGACATCTGAATTTTAAATTTATCTAAGTAACAGAAAGTTTATTATTTTCACTGGGATGAGTCATGCCAAAATAATGATTCGTCTTTACCCAGGCACAGCTGAAGAACCATATGGATCCACCACTGGAGCAGGTGAAAGCATGAGCAAATTAGTCACACCTGGAAAATCAAGCAAGCGGGCAGGGAGGATATTGGCTCAGACTATAGCTCAGCATAAGGTTGTCTGATAAATTTAATAATGCTAATGAGTGTTTTGTAAGTAAGGAAATCAGAAGATCACATTGAAATCATTAAGTATTTGGGCTTTATATCTTGTTAGCTGGCATAGGACTATAATGGAAGGATAGGAAAATGTCTTCCCTGTGTTGATTCCACTAGGAGAGACAGCGCAAAGCAAAGCAAGAGAAACAATATTGAGTGTTATTGGATGGCAAGGCACTATTCTAAGTGAGGCAACTGTAATTCTCACAGCAACCAGTGAGATAGGTGCTGCTTTTGTCAGCATTTCAAATGAGGAAGTACAGAAGTTTAGTTAGCACATATAAGGAAGAAGTTAAGGTTAAATGGTCTGGCAACAGAAGCTTTTCCTTACCTATTGTACCATTTTTCCTCCTATGGTGATAGATGTGAACTAGGACAGATAGGAAATATTTTCCCTGAAGGGATACCCTAGTGGAGCTTCAGATACACCAAATTCAATGTCTCAAAGAAGGTTGAGAGTAAAGGGACAACATGCCAGAACTATATATTAGGACAAAGATTGAAATATTCTATAGTAATAGCAGGTTTCACATTTTAGCATTTTATTATATTTTGTTTAGTTAATTATTTTTATTATTTGCCAACTGTGTGCCAGGTACAATGACAGGTATATGGGTACAGAGGTGAACAAGTTTGACAAGGTCCCTGCTCTTAAGGTGTCCTGTCCATAGGGGACTTAGCTAGTAAGAAAAGAAGTACCTCAATAATATAATTAAAATTATAAAGAGGCACTCATAAGATAAAGAGGTAAGGCAGAGAGGGAAATGGTAAGAGAACCTCAGGTGGAAGTCAGGTCATTAAGAATTTTTTATTTACTTATGTCTGCTGGTATGTATTGTATAGTCTGTGTGCTTCCTGTGATGAAAGTAAGATTTTTATAACTTCCAAAAAAATTTAAAAATTTAAAAAGTTTAAGGTAGGAGGCCAGGGTACCCAGTGCTGCATGGTGCCAAGGTGAGAAGCAGAATGGTCTTAGAAATCAAGCCTAGTGAAGGAGGAACTGGATCATACAGAGCCTTGCAGCACAGATTAAGGATTTTAACTTGATCCTAAGAGCTAAGCACAGCTACTAAGTGGTGTGAGACAGAAGAGTAACTCAATCAGGTTCACTTAAAAAAAAATTAACAAGACTGCAATGTGAAGAAGGATTTCATAAGGTAAGAATGGAAGCAAAGAGACTTGCTATCAGTATACATTTGGGTCAAGGTAAGAGGCAACTCTGGTGGCAAATGAAAAGTCTCAAACACATTTTTGGGGAACTATCAAGAGGATTTGGAAATGGTTTGGATGGGGATTTGGCAGTCATTTTCAAGCTGACATGGTCAGTTTTTAGGATGATGGTATCACTTACTGCAATAATGAATGTAAAAATGCTGCCGCTTACGGTAGGAAAATCCCAGTTTCAGGTTTGAATGAGTGGAATTTGAGACCTCAAGGAGAACTCCAAATGAAAATGATCCGTGGTAATTAAGTTCTTTGTCATCTGTTTTACTTTCAGTTACAACTGGAGTGCCTGCTACAACTTCCTCAGGAGTAAGAGGCACAAGCACAGCTTTCGTATCAGGTACGGGAACCACAACACATGGGAGCAGTCGTGATGTCTGAATATCTGGATGGTGTTCCAGTAAAATAAGAACACTGCTTATGACTTTCCCACCTTTATCCCAGGTTCCACAGAAAATGTCCCTGGCTCTACAGTTGCATCAGGAAATACCACTGTTCTTTTCATACTCACTGGCTAATGAAAAATACTAAAATAATTATGTTCTTAAAGATATCATCTAAGAGAATTATTTGAATAAGTATTATTATCTCATTTTGCTCAGGAAGAGCTTAGTGAAAGATATTACCTAACTTGGTGTAGGCTCTGGAGCAAGTCAAATGGTGGAACCAATTCTGCACTGATTTCAAGGAGTGTGATTTTCAGCGTTATTCCACTCTTTTTAAGCAAAATACACAATGATGTTTAATTGCCTGTCAATAAAACTTGCTTTTAAAATATTAAAGCTCAAATGTTTCTCATTTCTAGGTACTAGAACCTCAGGAGCAGATAATAAAAACAGGATTAAATTTTTTAATGACAAGTTGTGGCATTTGTTATTCTGAAATAAGTTTTGGAGCATTTTATTTAACAAAACTGTAGGCTTTAGTGACTAAAATAATCTTCTATGGAAATAAAATATTTTTGTTTTTTTATTTTTTATATTATGGCATTTAAGTACAGAAGGGAATTTTTAAAATGAAATTCAAGTATATTCTTTCATTAACACATGAATCATTTCTTTAGTAGCCCATTTACAGATATACTCATTGAATGTAGGTTGAAATTAAATTAATAGAAATATATGTTTCTGTACAATGTGGCTTGTTCTAGCATTCCCATCTTTTCCATTTGAACACTGGAAAGAACTAAGGGAATGTGACATTCTTCCCTGATTGTAATCTAATACATAAAGTAATCCTTTTGAATTGAATTAAATTAAGAATATATATTTATAAAAACATTTTTGTTTTTAAATTCTAGTGCCATCGAAACAGCCTGAAGTTGAAGGTATGAGAAGATTTAAAATTATAAATGTGCATTTGAATAAAATGGTGTTATATTAGCTAGAATAGGAAATAGTAACAGATGTCTTTACCATATTAATAAAACATGAACTTCAATTTGACTTTGGTAACATAGGGCCTTTTTTTTTTGGTGGTACTGAGGTTTGAATTTGGGGCCTGTGCTTACACTCTGAATCTTTTAAGCCATGCCCCCAGTCCTTTTGCTTTTTGTCTGTTTGTTTGGATAGAGTCTAATACTTTTGCCTGGGCTGGCCGTGGACTGCAATCCTCCGCCTTCTTCTTTCAAGTTGCTAGGATTACAGGGATTACAGGCATGTTTCAGCATGCCTGGGCTAACTCAGAGTTTTTGTTTTCTCTATTCTTATGCCCTCTTCAGTCATTAAATTCTACACTTATACAAACGCAAACAAAAGTAACTTCCAAAATACCTCCCTTATTAAAAAAAAAGTTAGTACCATAGTTCTTAGCATATTAGAATTGCTGGTCATGCCATTCTGTGAAAATTATTTAGCTTTTACTGTATTGTGCTGTCTTTTTTTAATCTTAGCAGTTTTAAAAGATAAGCAATAGAAGCTCATTCTTCAGAACATCTCACTTTTTCTTAACTTTTCTTACCCTTGTCTTTTAGCATTTAAATTAGGATATAAGCTCCCTGAAAAAAAGGCATTTTTATCTCATTTTGTTTATTGCTATAGTCCTTATATGATGAAGTATTTGACCTTAATATCTGTCCATGTGATCTATTCATTTCTGCATGTTGTTGGAAGGGGATCAGGCCTCATGCATCATTAATGAATCACTTGTAAGAGATTTGCATATAGCAAATACTCATTACATTTGAATTTAATTTGGTTTTTATTCAGTACTCCATTTGAATAATGTAGGCATTATTTTCCCTACCTTGTTTGTGAGGAAACAAGTTCAGAAATTTTCACTTGTTTGCAAATAGTCAAATCTGCTTGATTCCAAAACCTGAGCTCTTTCTCAGGTTTCATCTTTTCTCAGGAATCATCTTCTGCTGATTCCTCAGTTGAAGATGTTACTATATGCACACCCTAATCTTTAGTCTGGACAATTGGAGGCAAATTTCTTCCCTTTCAGTTTTCTCTATTTTCAGATGCATTCTGTTCAAAGTAGTGGTCAGTGGTTGATCTCCATTCATGTCATTTATGTTATCAATATACTTTAGCAGCCACCCACTCAACTTCACATAAATTCTAAATTCTTTAGTGTAAGGTTTGAGTCCTAATCTACTTTCCAAACTTCTCATTAACCCCCATCATACCAACTTTTAGCCTTCCTGAATTACTTGTCGGCACTGTTATAAAGTCCCTTTATAAGAATTTATTTTACAAACTAGTCACTACAAAGTTATTTTCACATATAATTAGAGCTAAATTTACAGTTTTTAAACTCAGTCTATGTTTATGCAATATATGTTTTCCAAAACTTGGGTTCTCCCTGTGTTTCTGCCTGATGTGCCCCTTCCTGGATTTCAACTAGACAAATCTTACCCAATGGTAAAGTCCAGTTCAACTGCTGTCTCTTTCAGAAAGCTGTGCTTGATCCTACTAACCAGGAGTAATGCTCAACAGTTTCCCATTGTCTCTAGTACTCAACATGTGTAAATTGTCTTTTCATTAGAGAGCTAAGGCACTGAGAGTAAACCAGGTGAACATGAGAGACTCACCTTTATTTAACCTTTGTCAGACAGCAACAGGAAAGTACACCTCATAGAACCATCCAAGAGGAGAAACTCCTTTTTAAAGAATTATGGTTCTGCCAAGTGTTCCCCGTGCAAAGTTACTTGTTATTGTAAAGAACATACATAAGACTTCACAATGGATGATTTCTCATGGCAGAATAAGTCACTAAAGTGACCCCTGGACTTTTTATGTTTCAGGTACCACTGGAGTAACCACTGGCACAACTCTAGTTCCCAGTAGTTCCAACACAGGTGAGAACAAGCAGGGTAGAATTTTCTCATGGGGACTTCTCTAAAGGATATATTTCTTTAGGTTTTAATTCTAGACAAGGTTGTTCCTATACAAATCCATTATCTTTGATGGTTTTCCAATCATGCCTTTTTTCCTCCTCCATCTCAGATGCCATAACTTCCTTAGAAAGAAATGAAATCATTAAAGGTAGAAGAGCCCCTGCTGAGTCATTTCTGATCATTGCCCAGTAGACAGTGTTGCTCAAACATACCACACTGTTTTATTCCCCCATTTTACACATTTTATGAATGAAAATCAGCTACTAGATAACAATTGGCAAGATTTAGGACCTTGGAACTTTGTTCTACCACAAGGAACCCATATACCGCACCAAAGAGTGAAGTCAGTAGCAGTCAGACACATAAGTACTATTCAAATGAAAATTACTTAGACAATTAAACTTGAAATTTATTTGAGCAAAGCAAACAAGTCAAAAATGTGATTTGTGAATTGGGCAGCTCCCAGGTTCTATAAACTCAACCAACAATGTCATCAGACATTGGAAGTGAGAAGTACAAAACAACTTTATTGGCTACAGCCTAATTAACCAGCAGTTGTTTACAGCCTGACTGGTTTATTGTTTGCAGCCTAATGAGTTAACTGGCTAAAAAGCCTTCTGCAACTAGCCAAGTTCCTTTACTGTGATCAAGCTATGTTGGTTTAGTCTGTTGACCCAGAGTGGGTGCTCAAGAAAAACTCCTGTACAAAATATTGTTTAACAATACTGAGATAAGTTCTGTTTCCTGGCAATGAACCTCAAAGAATGACACTTAAAAGTCTAGAATTTTGTCAGGAAATTTGCTGTGGGAAAGACATGCTGTGTCAGAAACATGAATTAATTCTTTGTATTAGAAAGCTCAAAGAAAGAGTTTCCTAATATGGCAAGAAGCACAGAGTTTTAAATTAGAAATTCTCTTATCACAACCTTTCTCTTATTTTAGGAACTTCTGGTAGTGTCTCAGGCAAAACCCTGGAACCTGGAAGTCATATCACAGGTAACTCACCACATACTAGGGAACCAAGAAAGGGGCCATTTAAGTATTTCAAAAGCTCCACCATTTACTTAACACCTTTCCTTACTTTTTCAGAGGCCACAACAGCAATAGGGACCACCAGAATAGGACTGCCAAGAGGTAAGCCTTCTTGTTCTAAGACTTGGGGTTTTATAGGTTCGTTTTAGGGGATTACAGCAAACAGAATATGAAGACCAAAGACACATTTCCTCAGGGACCACAATACATAAGACCAAGCCAAATTGTTATTCACTCTAGATGTGCCTACATGGAAGGGTCCTCCACCAAGTTTCTGCTGCCCTGGCTCCTGAAAGCCAAGAATGAGTATGTCACTGTTTGAAGCTTACAAAATTTCTTTTCACAGGTACCACAATTATTTCTCCTGAAGTCAATAGCAGTTCAGAAACTTCCAACACAGGTAATACATAAATGAAACACAAGTTGAATTTTTGTCTCATAAGAGTTATATGTCTGTACATGCTTTCAGGGTTGTCATGAAAAACAACCAGGAAAGAATCACAGGAAGTATTTAGAAAAAAACTTTATCTTCCATTTTTCTGCCCTCTGTAGTCACTCCTGGCTCTGCAGGGAGACATAAAACACTAAGTAAAACATACATGAATTCTAGAGTGTAGAAATGTTTATTTGCAAGGCTGCTATGAATAATTAAACCAAGGAGATGACATGAGAGAAGAATACTAATGATTTATTATTTGGAACACTAAGTTCTTGGGAAGTGTTTTACATTGGTACAGGCCATTAGCTGTTTCCATGATAGGTTAATACATACTACTAAATATACTTTCCCTTGTCTTAGTTGTTTCTGCAGTAGGTTCTGGAACATCTGTTTAAAAAGGGATTTTAACAACAAGTGGTATTTTTGTAGAGTTAGTCTGATAAAATGACACAAACTAACCCTTCCTAGTATTCCTACCCCTCAGAACTTAGTTTTGTTCTATTTTGTCCCTCAGAGGCTACAACTTCCACAGAAATTTTTGGCACCACTGGATACAAAACAGGTGAGAGGCCGAAACTCAGGTCTTCATTGTTACCACTCGTTATGAACTACTAGGGTGGCCTACAGAAAGAGTTTCTGGAAAGAAATTTGTATTTACTAATACTATAGTTTGAGGCCAACTAATTCTTTTTCAGTTTTAAAAGATTTCCTGAAAAGCTGCCAAAAGTAGAATACAGAACTGCAGCTGTAATCCCTGTAGGCAGAATGGTTACACTAATTGTTCTGAGTACTTCATGCTCTGAAATTGTAAACATTTCGTGCTGTTGAATGGGGAAGAGTAATAAACTTCCTATTCCTAAGAAATGGGAGCTTTTTTTTTATTCATATGTGCATACAAGGCTTGGGTCATTTCTCCCCCCTGCCCCCACCCCCTCCCTTACCACCCACTCCGCCCCCTCCCTCTCCCCCCTACCCCCTCAATACGCAGCAGAAACTATTTTGCCCTTATCTCTAATTTTGTTGTAGAGAGAAAGAACCAAGAAATCTGCCTTGCACTATACAAATATTTTATTTTTGTAAATGAAGAGCCAAATATTTTCAATGTCTGGAGTTCTCAGCACACTCATACCTTTCTCTGTGTCCACAAGGTAGCATCAAAGAGCCAGATCACTAGGATCAAAGCAGGTGAAAAACGCCTTGCTTTCTGACGTAGAACACTTGGATGTTTCTCTCCAGCTGAGGGCATTGTCACTCTGTTTTGGTAATAAAATGGTTAATGAGAAATTACATAGAGGATTATTGTCAGGGAAGAGCCAAGAGAAGAGTCAGGCATGAGGATAGGCTTAGCTCTTCCTATAGGCAGGACTTTAGGAACAAAATATGGAACACCATGGTGATCACAGTCTTCTTTGTGTTTCAGCAACTACCACGGTGGCTCCTGGCAACACTGTTGCCTCTGGCAGTTCCAATACAGGTGAGTCTGCAGGTTGACAGGAAACCTTTCAGTGGCACTCCTGTAATTAGGTGTCTCCTCTGGTTGTTATTCTTTATAGGAGTCATACCATATTTTTCATACCTACTTTGAGTGACTTTCCTGTTTTTTCTCTCAGAGGCCACAACTTCCCTTGGAGGACATGAAACAACAAGAGGGGGAGGTGCTACAGGTAAGGGTTGTTAGACTATTGCCTTAACCTCTAATAAGTCTCAAGAAAGCTTGCGGTTTAACGTGTTTCTGTGCCACTTATCTCTCCCATATTGAGCATTTTTTGATAAAATGTTAGCACTGTGGATTGACTAGTGTTCAGAAGCTAAAAATTTCATTCTTATTTGTGATGCTTGAGCACTGTCTCCTGCCATTCCCCAAGGCAACCCTGCAGCCATTTAGCTGACGGTTACATAGATGATCTAGAGAGAGCTCCTGTCTTTCTATTATTGGACCTGATAATTAGTACTTCCTTTGGGAGATTTACATTGGGAAGTTACCTTTGATCATTTAAAATCCAGTATACTAAAATATTGAACAAATATAAAATTCTTTTCAACTTATTTGCATATTACCCTATGCCCACTTCATGATGAAGGAATTGATTTGTGACTACCCTTTTCTAATAGCTAACACTAGTATAGTCAATAGAAAGACTCTGGAACCTGGGAATTACAACACAGGTGAGTCAAAAAGCACACAGGGGATTCTACACAATGGCCAATCAGGAGATGAGCTCCTAGGGTAACATAACTAGGCACTTCCCATATTCCAGACTTCACCCATGCTTTGCTTTGCTGTCAGAGTTCCACATGACAGGGCAGAACCATCCAGTCAGGATTGTCAAGAAGGATGTTTGTTAGTGTGAGGTTTTAGAGTGCTGCAGTCGTTGATATTGCCATAAGAAGGGGACTCAGGTAAAAAGGAGAAAAAAACTTGTAAACTCAGGAAATAAGAAGGCAATGTAATAACTGTATTGTCTTTTTTCCTTAATTTTTTTAATATAGCATTTGTAAATAGTACAGCTATATTTCCAGAACACTATTTGATGGAGTGACTTGGAAATGAGGGTGTTAGCCTAGTAGTACTCACCTGTGACTATTCCTGAGCTTACAAGGGCCTTCATAGACCATAATGAAAACAAACCAATGACAGATAAATAAGTGATAAGAAGAGAAATGTCCTATCTTCCCTTCAAAGAAAATGGCATGATAGTTTCTTTTAATATTTTTATTATATTATTGTTGTACTGGGGGTACATTGTGACATTTATAAAAGTTCTCACCATATATCATAGTTGAATTCACCTCCTCCATCATTCTCCTTTATCTCTCCTCTCCCCATTCCTGAAATAGTTTCCAGAGGTCTCAGTTTTCCATTTACATACAGGTATACACAGTATTTGTGCCATATTCACCTCCCATACCCTTTCCTCATCTCCTCCCTTCTTCCACTGCTACCAATCCCCCCAGGCAGAACCCATTCTTCCCTCCTGTTCTCCAATTTTGTAAATGAAAAAACAGATGACTTTTTTTGTTTAAGATAGCTACACAGGGAGTTTCTTTGTGACATTTTCATGTATATATGTATTATAGCCTGAATTGGTTCATCTCTATTTTTCTATTATTGTTTAAATAAGTACAAGTAATATTATCAGGAAGACACTAAACCATTACCATTAGTACTACAGTCTAGCAGATTAACTCAACATGCTCTATTTAATACTTCCCAGCAGAAGAAAATAGCTAATTTCAATTTTAAAACAAACTTGTGAACAAAGAAAAGGAAACCAATCTTACCACGGACCTTTGACAAAGAAGGCAAGCACTTTGCTACAGCTGTCAGGCATTGGTGTGTATCAAGGCACATGGGTTTGGGTATCCAGGCAAGCCCTCTGAGAAACCCCTTATGGTGATTTGGGAGTTTTAAAAATCCTGTATTCATTCTTGTAAAAGACCATGATAGTTGAGAACTGTCTTAGTGAAACTTCTGTGGAAGGAAATGTTATGTAGGACAAATATGAATTATTTCTAAGACTGTAAGTCTCAGAGTAATAGTTTATTGCTACATGAAGAATCATGATTCCTATTTATTTAATTTTATTTTTGAATGAGCATACATCAATAATACAAGGAGATTTCATTGTGATAATTCTGTCCATGTACACAGTGTACTCTGAGCACATTCACTCCCTCCTTTGTCTTTCCTCTTTAAATCTTTGCCAGACAAGCAGTTGAACCAGTGATGACCATCCCTTTCTTATTTTAGGTACCACTGGTGTCATCTCTGGAACATCTCTGCAACCTGGAAGTTACCACACAGGTAAGTCTGAAATACATGCAAAATTTGAGCATTGGTGGCTTGGGTGACGTACTCTGACAGCAGCATGGTGTATCCTTCCACATCCTAGTCTTTACACCTTCCTTTGTTTCCTCTCTCAGTGGCCACAACTTCCACAAGAGGAAGCAGGACTACTCAAGCAGAACTTTTAGGAAGTCAGCTTTTTTAGGCTGGGGCTTTGGGGTTTATTTAAGTCCCTGTTTGGGTAGCTGTAGTGAAAACATGAGTGTGAAGGTGGGCAGAGGAAAAAGGTCTGCATTTCCTTTGGCAACACAACATGCCAGAGTCACAGACCCTGTATTGCTAGAAATCCCATGGCCTTGGGTATCTTATCCATCTTGATTTACAGGGACTAAGGCCCACAGAGCTACACACAGGGACAAGGACAACTGGCTGGCTGCCATCTGCCTATTAAGACCCCAGTCCTTTAATCCAATTTGCCTTTTTTCCTAAGCATCTAACGCATTGACTTATTTATTAAGTTTATTGTTAGCTGCTAGTTTCCGGCTGCTAAACTGTAAGCTATATTAGAGGAGGGTGCTGCCTATGATGTCATACACGTCATAAAGGTGTCGGAGGACTAAAGGAATAGCATATTTCTAGAAAGAAGAAAATGTGAATTCTGGAAGCAGTCTATCTCACTTAAAGGTTTTCTGACTTGAGAAAAAAATAAAGATGATAAGTATTGTCCTCTGTTCTTAGTACATTCAAATACTTTTCTGGCTTTCATCCCATGGTAGGTACCACTGTGGCATCAGGAGGTGGAGCATCTGGTATTGTGACAGGTGAACCTGAAAGAAAGCTACCTTGTCCCCCTGTCCCAGGGTAGATGGAATTTCAGGGGAGGTGACCTCGGCTTGGTAACATTACTAGTATGATTTCTTTGTTAATGATATGGTGAGTGCATATGATTCTCATCTCTTTGGGAAGCAGTGAAAGACCCTTTGAAAAGATATGCCCAGATTCTTTTAAAGGCAGGTCTATAGGAGACAAAGACCACTCACTGGGATGATTTCATACCTTTGATGTTTCAGCCACCTCTGGGGTTACCCCTGGCACAACAGTTGCTCCAGGCAGTTCCAACACAGGTGAGTTAATGAGGTACCAGAGAGTCTTCCTCAAGTCCACCTATGATGAGATTTCTTATCCACTGATATCCCATGTAAGAAAACTATCGTATCTTTTCCAATAATCTCTTTCTTACTGTCTCCCTTCTCAGAGGCCACAACTTTTGTAAGAAAAAGTGGGACACCAAGCATCAAAATAATCACAGGTGACCTCCGTTAAGAAACTAACTATACTTTCTAATAATTTTCCAACAGTCTTGCCTAGAAACTATTAAAAGTCTTTAAATTTAACAAATTTGTTATACTGGGAAAGAAATTACCAGATGTTCTATATATCAACACATACAGTTCAGACATTAAAGTTCTTTCCTTTTGTGTTGTGCTTTGTGGACCCCTCATCAGGGCATCCTGGGGCCCATTCTCTGATCAGTCACAAAGGTGATTTGGGTCCAAATCCATCTGCAAGCAACTAAGCCCTACCAATAAGGCCTGGTGGTAGAGGACTTTGCCTGTAAACTCGCCAAAGGAAAATATGTTCCATGGAAATATATCAATTATCTCTTAAAACTAGAAAGTCCAGAGATAAAAAATTATTTCTATATTAAAGAAACAAGTGATTTTTTTTCCTGTAAGAGTTTATTCCCATTCCATAAAGGACAATGAGCTGACCAACAACCACAATCTTCTTGTTTCAGGCACTACTGAGGGCATTTCTGGCAAAACTCTGGAATCTGGACGTGTCAGCACAGGTCAGGAGTTCTAAACACGACCCCAGTCTACAACCACACCACCTGGAATGCACTCAGTCGCGTCTGAACATGACAATGTAGGGCAATGTACTCTATGGGAGACCTAAGGTCCTATCCAGTCTGTATCTTAAATATTTCTCTTTCAGAGGCCACAACTTTCCCAAGAGGCCGTGAGACCATTAGGGTGGGACTGACGGGAGGTGAGCTTTTCAGTCTGAGGCCTGTGGCTCCCTTCACTTCTGTTTTTTATTACTGCAGTGAACAACTAATATGGAGTATGAAGGAGGGCCCAGCATTTTCTCTGGGGTCATATTGTATCATATCAAAGGAGACAATTATTCAGCTTGGGGGTTTCCTATGTATCAGCTAGGCTGTTCTCAGAGTTCTGGCTTACAGAGACTTTTTTCCCTGAAAAAAAACAACAAAAGAAGCTTAGGAAGATGTGGCATGTATTCGAGCACCCCAGGAATTCTAATTCTCCTTACTCTATTTTCTGTCATTTCTCCCGTGTGCTCATATCTGATATTTAGTGTTTTTGTTTCCCCTTACTGGAGAGCTTCATAAAAGCAAATAATTATTAAAGTGCCCCAAGCTTCATAAAAGAGTCCACTGACTAAAACCATGCTTTATTTTTTCCCCCTGTACACCAGAGAATTTGTCCCTGGATGTGAAACAGTAATTTGAAGCCCTGTTCTTTCCTTACTACATAGTGGACACAGGAAGCACAGTAGCAATAGCAATACATCCCTCTCAGGTTGACCTGGGAAATGCAGTGAGTGGAGTTATTTGTCCATTCTTTCAGAGATTAAAAAGTCCTCAGGAAGGGCTTCCAGTGTTTCAGTGCTACATCTGTGCTGCCAAGATTAATTGGAGGAAGTAATGCTTTATTTTTCCTTGTTTTTGCATTCTAGTTACCACTGGAGAATTATCCAGAACAACCATTATATCTGGAAGTTCTAACACAGGTTGGTTAAGAAGGAAATGCCTTTTATTTAATCTCAGACATCATGATAGCTTTTAGGGCTGGTATGATAAAATTTCACACCAGTATCTCCTTCTAGTACTCCAAATTCCCAGACTTTATTATTTTCCTATTGCTTTGTTCAGAGGCTACAACTTCCACAGAAGTAACTGGTCCTGTTGGAACTGAATTCAAGACTGGTGAGAATACAGTTGCCCATGATTTGGGATCATCAAGATTAGAATTCTCTGAACTTCCCTTGGGAGACTTTGCATTATATTTAGGGTTGGTACAAATGAGCCAAACTAGGTTTGTAGTTAGAAATAACTTTGAAAATCTACTAATTCTAGAATCCAGCCCAGCTGCTCCATGTCTTAGAATGGGATTGTATTTCTCTATGGTATCACCAGCATTTCAGCTAGAATCTACAAAGTTCTCTCTTTGTATCTGTTGCCTCTCTCTCTCTCTCTCTCTCTCTCTCTCTCTCACATACACACACACACACACACACATGCACACACACAAACAGATGAAGAGAAAAAGGGAAATAGAAAAGCACCATGGAACCAGAATACATTCATGTATATGTGTGCATACATATATGTCTATAAATTTGTTTCAATATTCAAAGTTTTCATTACATTTAAACCTATTATCCCTGCTTCCTGTCTCACAACAGAGATTACTGCAGCAACAGTGAGCCAAGCAGGTAAGCATTGGGGAAAAGATTTCCTCTTCTTAAATTCCATCAGAAGTGCCAAAGTACCTCACATTGGGAACATTGTCTTCCTATATTATGATTTGTTGAAAGCAGGAAAATACATCTAATTTACCATGTGCTCTGACCACCAGATTTCTGTTGTGGGAAATAAATGAATGAAATGAATGCACACATGCACATATGCTTACATGCATAAGGACTATCCCTTTTAGATTTAGGTCCTCTTGTGACTTAGACATGTGACAAACTCAGTTCCTCTGTGTGTCAGGGACCTCTGAAGTATCCCCTGACACAACAGTTGCCCCTGGAAGTTCTAACACATGTGAGTTCACAGTTTGGAAAAGACTTTTCTGAGTATGTCTTTCCTTTTGGTATGTCTATGCATGTACACCAAATTTTTATTCTTTTCTCCATGAATCTTTTATGTCTTTTCTTTGTTAGCAGCCATGTCTTCCCCTGTAGTGAGTGGAACAGCTGGAGTTGGAACCCCTACAGGTAAATGCTGACAGCCCACCTCCTGCGTCTCAGTAGACAAAGTTGCTGAATTATATTTAGTATTTATACTTCTGTGAAGAGAATTTTTGGAACAAAAATTACTGGACAGCCAGGACTTATTCTAATAACTAAAGATCAAGCACTCAAGCTCTTTTCTCTGTTCTTCTGCTTCAAGAAAACTTTATCACAGAGCTAAGGCACTAAAAATTTGTTAGGTTATTGGAAGAGAAATGCCTTTGTTTTGCTCATTGATATCTAAAGGAAGTAATTCAATTGCTGAAACTTCTGTAATTTTTTGTTAGATAGAAATGGTATATGGGAAACATATTAACTCCTAGTTCTGACTACTGAAAGAGCTTGTTGGCACATTGAGAAAACACAGAGTTCCTTAACCCCTGTGTGAGTCCATTTTCTTCTCGTTATGGGTAAAAAACTGACATACTGATCCTTATCATTCTCTAATTTCAAGTTCAAATATTATAGGGACTGCCAAATTTCTAATACTTAAAGCAATAAATAAGGATGATAACAATAATATATTTGTCATTTATAAATTCCAACTATATGTATTTTTATTAAGAAGTTTGCATAAATTATTCTAATCAAAGACTATCTAAAGCTCAGTTAAGAGCCATATGAGTTAAAAAAATATTTAGACTTAATTTTTAGACAACTAAACTTCAGTATTGAGTATTTACATTACTTTCACAGTCAGAAGAACTTCTTTTCTGACTTTTATTAGCTAACAATAAGTTTGAGATTGTGCTTATCTATTGCAGTGGGAACCCTTAGCTCATTCCCTGTTCTCAATACTTAACTCATTTTGGTTCCCTTTCCTTTGTTTAGAGACCACACCTTTCCTTGGAGAAAGTGGCACCACTGCAGCAGAAATAAAATCAGGTGAAAATTTGGAGTTTTCATTATTTATTAATGTGGTTTAATACCAGTTCAATAGATTTGATTTTTTAAAATTAATTTTATATCAGAATAGCTTTAAATTGTTGAAAATTGCTTTCAAGGTTAAAATATTTCAGAGGACCCAGGGTTTACTTTTGAATTTGGAACCACTTGGGCCTGGATTTCCAAAAGGCTTTACTTTTGGGGAATTATCTCAGGGATCTAGGACGCTGGATCCCTGGAGTTTTATAATTGTCCTAGCTCAGAAATGTTTCCCCTTTGAGAAAAGCTTTGTCTGTATAACATTACTGACTTCCATTCAGCGTAGAAATCATTATGATATCATATTTTTAAGATAAAATACCTATACTTTTTATTTTTCATTTTATTTTCATTAGGGACCACCACTGAGGCATCAAGAAGTCAGACAGGTGAACATGGGAAATGCCTTTGATATGACCTTTAACCTTGGAAAAAAGAAAATCAGGGAGTCATTGCCCTTGGCCTTGCAAAAGCACACAGTACAGATGGAACATGTCTCACCTTCTCTCAGTTATAGGAGCAGGTCTTTTGCTGTTTTGAAATCACACATAGACATGTTGTTAGCTCTGTTTTTCTAAGGATTGCAAAAGTATCACCATGTGCTCTTTCTTTTCCCTATGTGCAGACACAGGGGGTGTCCCCTCTGTTACAATTGCACATGGGAGCCCCGGTGCAGGTAAATTAACAAGCTGGGAGGGACTACTGTTTGGAGAAGGCTCCACAATAAACTGTCTCTCCATGTGATACTTTTCTCAAATTCTTTGAATCTTGGCCCTCACCTCCACTTCTTTTCAGAGGCCACAGCTGTCTCTGGAATTAGAAAAGCAGTAACAGTCCCAGGGAAAAATGTTCAGCCAATGAATTCCTCCTAAAATTTTGATTGGTTGAAATTAATTCAGAGTAATTTCTGCCACTGGAAATCTTTGTCTGAGATCCCAATCTTTCCAGTTATATCTAACAGAATATTCTTCCTTTCCTTCAGAAGCCAAGACCACTGTACAAGGAAGCCAGGTGTCTAGCAGTCAAACAGGTAAGCATGAAAAAGTATCTATATGTCTCTGTTATTTACCAAAATTCAGAATAAGTAGACATCTATTCTGAGAACTTAGCCTTTGCATTTTCTTCTACTTTGGAAACAAATGCATTTGTGGAAAAGTAAAATAGGATCCCTAGGATAGGTCTCCTGTGACTTAAAAGAGGTGTATAATGTTTTTCTGTTTAGCCCTTCTTTTAATGTAAAGTATCAATCCCTTCCTCCTTGTGATTGCAGGTACTAGTGGAAGAATCTCTGGCATAACTGCTATACCTGGAAGTTTCATTACAGGTAAATGAATATTTTCAAAGGCAATCGCCCTTATTTAACCTCTTGGAGGAATATGCATTCCAAATGTGCTTTTGACTTTCTTCATTTCCTCCTTAGAAGCCATAACTTGCTTAGCTCTTTACTATGATGAAATCAATTGTCTATGTGTGCTGTCCAGACCACAACTGCTGAATGATGTGGCCCAGGAAACACACATTGATTTTATATCTAGATTGCCTCAATGCAAATGACTCTTCATGTTGATTCTGTGACCTTTTTTCAGGTACCACTGGTGTGGCTGCAAGCACTACTGTTGCACCCGGAAGTTCCAGTACAGGTAGGCTAACAAGCTGGGAAGAAAGTGTGCTTTCTGGATATAAGGTCATAAAAATGTTTTTCATATTGCCCTTCTTATGTATGGACATCATAATATATTTTCCCTCATCCTGTACTTCTCTCTCTCTCTCTCTCTCTCTCTCTCTTTCCTTCCCTCCCATCTCTCCCTCCCTCAGAAGCCAGGACTTCCACAGGAGCCAGTAGAACCACTGCATTAAGAGGGAAAATAGGTGAGAATTGATGATGTATGAATGAGTACGTGAACATGTGTGTGTGTGTGTGTGTGTGTGTGTGTGTGTGTGTGCAACTTGGGCAATGAAAAATTACAATTATATTAGCTTCTTAGGATAGTTTCATGGGGAGGAACTCTCATATATGGTCAGTAATGTTTTCTTTTGTTACTTGATTTTGAGTCAGTTTAGGCAGATTTTTGAAGTCTTTTAAGAAATGACCCAGCACTGACAATGATAGTGGAAGTGATCATTATCTGGAAAGTTTCATTTTTCCATTTGTCATTTAGGTATCACCACAATTTCAAGTGAAGAAAATACAGGCTCAGAAGGTACTATTTCAGGTAAACAGAAGGCCAAAATGAACACAGAAAATTTACCTTGATATAGTAGATTCTTCCTTGCATACAAAAGTGTTGGAAATGTGCAGTAGTTAGCCCAACTGAGTCTCCCTTCATACTCAAAAGTTTTTCTACACTTACCTTTTTAGGAACTACCTCTGGATCGTCAGTAAACCAAGGAACAGGAAGCACAGTAGGTAAATATGATGGAAAAGGGGGCTGCTTGTCTTACTTTGAATTTCAAGAAAGAAAGGCTCTATCTTAAAGAATTGCATCTTTGATTTAGGAATAAAACTATGCGTGAGAAAGCATTAGTAATTTACCATTAGAAGTAAAAGCATGAAAGACAAGTCAGTTCCTTCCCAACTTAATCTCTCCCCAATGGGAGGAAAACCTACCACTTCCCTTTGGTTACAGGTACCACTAGAGTAGTTTCTGGTACTACACTTGAACCTGGGAGTTCAAACACAGGTGAGTCAACCAGCTAGTGAGAGTTCCCCACAGGAGGACCTCTAGTAGTGAAGTATCTCTTGTGGTACAGCTCTCAAGAAAAGTATGACCTTAACATTCTTCAGAATGTTAAATCCTTGTCACCTTTCTTCTCTCTTAGAAGCTACAACATCCTCTGGAGGAAGCAGAACCATGGGAAGTGAGTATACAAGTAACCTCTCCACTTTTCACTTACAATAGTGATGCACACTAATTAACACTCTCTAACAAACTAATGTGCCAGGCACTACTCTACATCCTTCTTATTCTTTTATTTACTCCTAACTGTGAGGTAAGTACTAATGTTTTCACAAGTGTTACAAATGAGAAAACCTATGGCCAAGGGATGTTAATTGCCCAAGGTCACACCACAAAATAAAAAGAAATTTCAACTCTGGAAGTCTGGATCCAGAGTCTGTCCTCCTCACCATGATGCTGAAACTCTACTACTAGATTCCTTGGCCACATGTCTAAACTTTTCCAGAGCACTAATATTTCTGTAACAGCAAATGAAAATTCAATAGGTAATCAAGCCTGCTTTGCTTCTTCTTGGTGGGTATCTGGTAGCCAAGTCACTGGCATTCAACCAGTTGAGTAAAGGAAGATCTGTTTGTTTCTCTGAGATTGAGCTCAGAAAAAGGGGTGTTGTCATTGAGATCACCACCAACAAATACTGTTCTCTCCTCCAGCAAGTGTATGTTGATAATGAAGAATTACACAAACACATAGGACATCTCTGGATCAAGCTATTCCTGAAAATGGTCTTCTCACTCACTTCTGCAGTTCCCCTCTTTTGTTCTAGGATATGTTCTTCTTATAATAGGAATGAAGTTCACATAATTATACCCTTCCATTTTGCTTTTAGATACCACTCAACTTGTCTCTGGAAGCAGCATCTCTTCTGGAAATGTCAACACAGGTTAGTCAATGAGGAACAGGTACCATGATATCTTCTATGGGGCTGGTTCTGGAACAGCACCTTTTTATGAGTTTCCATTAGCCCTCACTTCTTTCTTCTCATTCACTCTGTGAAGCTACAACTTCCATTGAAGGAAACAACCAATGAAAATGAATTAGCAACTTTTGAGTTCCCGCTAATTTATATTTGGTCTTTGTCCTTTCATAGACATATGTGAATTATATCATTTCTTTTGAGAGAAAACCTTACACTGCAATTCTGAAGAGGCTCAGAGCCCAGAAAGATTTTCCCTTTTGACATTCAAGTTATTACCCCAATGATAGAGGTGATAAATATCACATATTTAGTTCTATTTAGAGGGGTAGAGATGATGGAAGCAGCTCTGAAGGTTTAGGCCTATCACATGTTGGATTTCAGATGTTATCAATTTATTAATTGAATACAGTTGGATGCATTGCCATAAATAGTGTATCTGCTTCTTGTCACTAGGAGCCACTGCTGGCACAGCTGAGAGGCCAAGCTCTGAGAGAGAAACAGGTAAGCATGAGAAAGGCCCCAAGACCTCTGGCATCTAAGCCAAGGCTGCTCCATTTGCTCATGTGTTTATTGTAAGTTTGAATTAAAATGGAGAAAGCACTTTAACAATACAGGACACCCAGCAAAATGCCTTCTGCTGCACTTTAACGATACAGGATACCCAGCAAAATGCCTTCTGCTGCTTTTGAGTCACGGACAGTGTTAGCCCTGCATCTCTATTTTGATTTTCTCTCTCCCTCCCTCTCTTCTATTGTAGGCACCACCAGTGCAGTCTCTGGCACAACTATTGCATCTGAGAGCTCCAACACAGGTAACTCAGTGACTTAACAGGGAACAGAAGGAGCTTCAGTGATGAGACATCCCCTCCTACTTCACCATCCACTCAAATATGTACATTTCTACCTGGAGGTGCCACCACATTTTGCTCAGTTACATAACTCTTCTGAACTTACTTCTTTCTTCCTTCTCTCCTGTCACTTAGAAGCCACAACTTTTCTAAGAGGTGATAGAACCACAGAGGCTGAAGTTAAAATAGATGAGCACTAACTAGCAGTCACAAAATTATTTTTCTCCTCATTTTAAAGTAAATTATATTAGTTATAATAAGTTTAGTGGAAATTTTACTCAATTTCTCTTTGAGTACAAATTGCCCAGATGCTAACACATCACTCCATATGAATTTTTCTTTCTATATTTATAATACAATAAGCATAATAGAAACTGTAATGCATCATTGAAGTCAAGAAAGTTCCTTTTAATTCACTCATGAAACTCATAAATTTATTCTAAGCCAAATCCTAGTTTTGAGTAAAATAGAATTTATAAGTTCATTTTCTTCTTTTGTGATTTTAGTTACCACTGGGTTAACCATTGCTCCTGGGAGTTCAAACACAGGTGAATGATGAAACAGTTGGAGAAATTTTTCTCTGTGACCTTCAGAGGACCTGATGTCTCCCATAGGCATATTATACAAAGTAACATTTTTACACAATTTTCCAAATGTCTACATTTTGTACCACTTTTTCCATTTACTTTTCAGAGGCTACAACTTCTACAGAAGTTAAAGCTACCACTAGAGTTGAAATGACAACTGGTAAGTGAGTTGCTCTTTCAGCCTTTTGGGTTCTCAGTAATTCCATGAGTTTGTGGTAGATGATGAATGAGTGAGAGGTGTGCTGAAACAGGTTTTTGTATTTCATTTGAAGAGATAAAATGTCAAGTAAATCAGTCTTCGACGTTTGCTCTTCAAACTGGTTTTCTCCATACACCAACCTTTTGAATATGATTTTATGACACTAAGAATAACATTTTACTTTCAATCCTTTATCCATCTTGCTCTTTCCAGGTACTACTTCAGGTTCCACTGGAGTTTCCAGGAAACTAAAAAGTTCTAGTTCTGGTGAGTAGAGATTTTTAATTCACCCATTTGTTTTTTTTCCTTTTTCTTTTATTATTCATATGTGCATACAAGGCTTGGTTCATTTCTCCCCCCTGCCCCCACCCCCTCCCTTACCACCCACTCCACCCCCTCCCTCTCACCCCCACCCCCTCAATACCCAGCAGAAACTATTTTGCCCTTATCTCTAATTTTGTTGTAGAGAGAGTATAAGCAATAACAGGAAGGGACAAGGGTTTTTGCTGGTTGAGATAAGTAAGTCCCTTGAGTATAAAACCCACTGTCATGAGTTTATTCTCATGAATAAGGTCCAAAAAATTTTAAATTTTATTATTCATTCCCACTCACCCAAGGAGTCCCCACAGAAGCCCCAGGGAACCAAGACACAGCAAGTAAAGCAGGTGAGCAATGGAAAAGTACTTCTTTCCAGGATATTAAGCCCTAGCAGTGGGTTCCAAATGAGAGTTTTGCCAAATATTGGTTTATAAGGAAATATAGTGTTTGCTTCTCTTTTGATAAATAACCCCCTTACTGCTTATAAGAAACATGAAATTTGTTCAAATTCATGCTATTCTTAGGGCAAAATGTTAGTGCTATGATTTATTGATGTCTGACTCTTTGTCTTTTTCTCTCTCTTCTTTTCACTACTTGTCTCTCCATCTCATTTTCATTTCTATCTCAAATTCCCCTGGAGTAATTTCTTTTATTATACCTGTTGCTGGGAATTCCAACCTAGGTTAGTCAAAGTTATTAGGGAAAGCTCTTCATTATATTTCAGGCAAGATGGATATGACATATTGTTTAAGAATATGTCTTTGACTGTATGTTGCAATCTATTTTCCAGATTTCACAATTGCTTCAAATCACCTTAATTTTTTCTTTGAAAAAGCTACAACTTCAATGCTAAGCAGTGGAATACAAACAGGTTGTCACTACTTTGCATATTTTGGGGATTTCATTGATTGCTAGTGGGAGTTTGTCCCTGACAGGAGGTGATAAATCTTTATCTCAGAAGACTTATTTGAGTGAATTGAGGTTGGCATTTCTGGAATTTCTTAGATGACAGATTCTTTAGTTGCATCTTTGTTAGACCATAGCTCCCAAATGTAAATATCTCAATAGGGACAGAAATCTTTTAGGTAAAATATTTTAGGGATGGAACTCTTTTTAGGTAAAATATTTCTATACTGTCTTTTCAGGTACTACTGTCATATCAAGTAAAGTCACCATTAACCAAGAAGTTTCTAACCCAGGTAAATAAAGATAACTGAAATAAACTTAGGGTATTTGGAGAGTCTTATATTAAGACTTATTTACCCAGTGAAAATTTTCAAGGAAAGAAATATTTTTTGTATTTAATTATAAAGGATGGGGAAATAAAATAGCCTGCATATTTCAAGAAATTATAATAATTCAGCATGATTATGTAATATAATCCAGATATTGAGATAGCATCACAAAGGAGGATGTTTGGAAGTTTTTGGAGCTTCTAGATGGCAAAATGATAGAAATATCCTGAAATGAAGGGGGCAAGAGATACCACCCATCAACTCTGTATTCTATAATGAATATAATATTGGGCTCTGTCATCATATAAACATTTAAAGCTTGCTGGGGGTGTGGCTCAACTGGTAGCTCAAAGCTCTGAGTTAAAACCCCAGCATTTCCAAAATTAAAAACTTGATTCCATAAGCAATAGGGGGCAGTTGGAAAATTTTAGGTAGGTTGATTACAATGCCCAGATTGGAGAGGTTTTTTTGGTGACTATTTGGTCACTACTTGGATTGATATGAAGGGAGTCAGGTAGTCATATCATCTACTTAAAGTCTCTTAGAAGGGAGCCATGATTAGCATGAAGTAAGGAGGCAGTCATGTGGAATGTTGGGGGAGGACAGGAGTAAGCAATGTGTTAACAATTTAAAATCAACTGGTGTGGTTGAGAGAATGGAGGCGAGAAAGAAGTATCAATAAGTCCTAATTCATGGTTTTGGTGCTTGCATAGATGGTTGGTGCCATCCACTGAGTTTGGGAATATCCTGGAAGAGTTTTTAACAAAAGAAAATTGAGAGATGATTCAGTGGAGTTTGAATTTGATAGTTTGATAGGTTGAATTTGAAATGCTCTGGGCTTCCAGATAATGATACCCAACAGAACTGGGTTCCTACAGATAGAGATTTGTCAGTTTTTTGCTTATAAATGATATTTGAAACTATTGGTGTTAATGAGTTTATTTTTAATAGTAACAGAGAAAACAGTTCCTTGGGGTCACCAGAATCTAAAGGATGGCCAAAGGCAAAAGAGCCTGAAAAGGAAAGGAATTTTAGTTTAACAGTTGGCAATGTGTTTGCCTTAGCCTAACACAGACTACTGGGATATATCATACTGTACCAGAAGACCATATTCCTCGAGTTTGGAGATTCAAAGTCTCAAATCAAACAGGATCAACCAGAATTTGCTGGCAAGACATTTTTTCTTTGTGTAAGATCCATTTTTTTTTTTTTTTTTAGAGGATATAGCCTCATAGCAATGAGACTTTGAAGGTAGAAGGGGGAAACTGTTTTTAAAGACTCAAAATAGCAAAATACGCAGTCTTTTCCATTATTTATCCTACACAAGTCACAAGTTACCAACATGATTGCAGGGAGCCAAGATATTAAAAGTAAAACAAGTGACCAGAGGAATTGAAAAAAGAGAGGGTAGGGAAGGCCCTATCTCCATGATACTACCTGTGGAAAGAAAGAATTGCAGGGGCTGCAGTTTACCATAAGGAATAGAATATAGGGGAACATGTTAATTCACCTCTTGGGACAAAGACTCCTGGAGAAGGAATGTGTTGTCTCACAAAAACACATGGATTTGTCCTAAACCACAATCTCTATCCCATAAACCACAATCTCTATCCAAAAAGAATGACATTGTTCATCTCACCCCCTCTTTTCTTTTCCATCCTAGGTTCCACTGAAACAGACTCTGGGACTACAGTCTCACCTGGAGGTCTCCAAAAAGGTAAATCAAGTACTAAACTGAATTTTCCTCTAAATGACTCTAGACAATACCATATGCTGCTCTATCATTTCTATGTGTTCAACTTCTCCATCTTTTCAATTTTTCTTCCTTTATTTTTATAGAAGCCACAACTTTTAAGAAAGTTGTTGAAACTACCAGCACAGGAATTTCATCAGGTATATTTTGCCAGATTTTGGATTATCAATCATTTTTTCATTTGAGTTTACTACATAAAGATTTCCAGTGAAAATAAATGTGGCTGAGAGTGGTCACCCCTTTTTTTGTAACAGATCATGAGGTCAATATAGAGTATTAGCTCATTGGCTAATTGATTAATTTCTCAGAGGACACATTATAAGGATAATTTTCTAGATGCATCTTTTTTACTTCCTTTGTTTTGTCAGACAATACCCCAGGATCAGTGGAAGTCACCAGTAGCCAGGAAGGTAAGTAAAGACCACTAGAATAGAAGCAAGTAGATTTGCAAATTAAGGCATTAAGATGCCTAACCCTTACTCATAAGTGTAGATGCATTTTTTTCTCCCTGCCCCACCCACTGGAGAAGCAAAATTGTCTCTAGGAATGTCATGCATATTTAAGTCTCTCATCTAGTAATAAGAGTGTAGAATATTCTAGTTCTAGAGAAATGAGTCCTATGAGGCCTTTGTGACCTTCTGCCCTGTATTTCCTCTGAACCTGAATTTATGGGAGAGGAAATTGGAAAACATGTCAGGCTTAATATCTAGAACAAGGAAGTTTGGTAAATTCATTTCTAGTGCCTCAGAGAAATGGGAAAAACTGATGCTCCTTACCCTTTTTAGGATGAGAAAGGCTCTATAAGGCTGACTATACCCTCTTGTTACAGGCACCACTGGGGTAGCCTCTGGCACAACAATTATTCCTGGAAGTTCCAGTCCAGGTAACTAAATGTATGAGTGTCTCTAAGAATCTAAGACTAGAAAAATAAACCCATTTTCTGGAGTTGACTGTTGTAGCATTAGCACAGCAGTCCCTATCTCATACTTCTTTGCCTTTTTTTGGTTAAGTGTCAATATTTTAAATCTATTGGATTCACATGAATGAATTTAAGCCTCTGTTTCAACACAGAAGGATGTTGAGAGGTAAAGATAAAGGCCCAGTAACTAGGGTAGAGTCTCATTAGGGAATTAACTCTTTTAGCCATTTAAGGTGGTCTTCTTTTTCTGGGTTTCTGGAGCTCAGACCAGAGTTTCCAGGTGAAGGCTTACAGAACAGAATAAGGGGGCTGCCGTCCAGCCATCATTCCCCAATGAGACAAAAACCCATGAGGCCTCATCTTCCCAGAAGAGTATGTCTTTGGTAATTCACAAAGCTTCTGTATGGACTTGCTGAAGCCCTGGTCCAGAATTACATCTGTTTCATTTCTCTTTCTGATGTTGCTCTCTGTGGATAAACATCAGAGCTGTGGCTGATATGAAATGACCCTTATTTGTCTTCGCAGGCACCACAGTGGCACCAAGCAGAACCACTGGAATCTTAGGAATCTCAGGAATCTCAGGAAGTTCCAACCCAGGTAATAGGAAAGACTGACACAAAGGAAGTTTACAGCCTTAGCATTCTTCTCATGTAAATATCAGTGTTTCAGATACCCAATATGTATTTCTAGGAATGAGTATCTGACTTCAACTTTAAGAGAAAAATTTTACCAGGCAGAGCTAAATAGGCAAAGATGGCTTTATTCAAGGCTATTCCAATCAGGGTCAAAACCATTATAGTAGTTGAGGGAGACTGAACTCAACTCTGCTGAAAAAAAAAAGGCAGGTAAGTTTCAGGTGTTGGGGTGAGTAAGCAGAAAAGTGCTACAGGCTCTTTGGAGGAGGCTGACCTATGTCTCAGGCTATGAGACATAGGCTCTTGCCTGAGCCATTGGTGTTTACTAATTAGCACTTAACATGGTTAAAGATAGACCACTACCCTACCACAGTAAGAGACTACCAAAGAGATTTTTTTTTTTTTTTTTGAGACATATTCTCTTTCCTGTAACCCAGGTTAGCCTTGATCTTGTACAAGTCCTCCTGTTTTGGCCTCCCCAGTGCTGGGATCATGGATATATAGTACTACACCTGGCTATCTTTCTTGAAAATTCCATTTCAAGGGGGTGCTCCTAGGTCCTTGAGAAAGATACTCCTGAATTATAAGACTGGCAGTAGACTGGGAGAAGATTTACATCTCAAAAAGATAGAGAATTTACAATTGCAAGTGTTCTAAAGTAAATGATCTATGAAAAGAGAGGATGGGGCCCAAACTAAGTTGTTAGGAAGAAACAACTTATCTAAAGTTAGGTGGAACTAAGGCAATATTTAACCATCTAGCTCAACACAAATGTTTTCTCATTTTCTCTCTCTTGTAATTGCTCTCCTCCCAAAACTAATATGAGAAGACCACAGTACCAAATTAAATGAAATAAAAGTATTAACTGTGAGAACCTTCTTTTCACTTAGGGGAAGAGGACCTAGAGGTGAAAGTTTTATCAGGGTCATAGAAATATAATTCACCTCTGTGAGCAGGGATTCCTAAAACTGGGGCCTCTTAATGATTCAGTGTAAAGGCGCTAGCAGTGGCGCTAATTCTATGTGGAGGTGTCTTATAGACATAGTCTTCAGAGACCAGAAAAGGTGCAGTGTTCTTCCTTTCCTTGTTTTAGGTACCTCTAAGGAAGCATCTGAAACAACCACTGCCCCTGGAATTACCATCACAGGTAAGTCAGATAGAAAGTAAAGGAAATTTTCTTGGTGGCATCTCAGAACTTACCTCAAGTTACTCATTTTTCCTGCACTCACCACTTTTGTTCCTCTGTTAGCAGTCACTGATCCCACAGGAGTGGAAGGAACCTCAGGAACTGAAGCACAAACAAGTAAAGGCTGCCAACACAACCTCTTTGGTGATCAGTGTGGCCTTGCTTATACATATGGAGCTGAGTTTTGGGGAGAGGGATGATAGGAAAGAAGCAGGAGAGGGGGTGGAGACCAGGAAGTTGAGGTGAAACATTCTTTGAAATACAATTTTAAGTTCAAGTAGGACTGCCTATTCACTCAGGGATTTTTGATTTAGCCTTTTGCCAGGGCTCCTCTCCTGAATATTTATTCATGCAACTTGAGATTTCTAAGATGGGGATCAAGAAGTGTGCTAGTCCTGAAATCCTCCATATGTATTTCCTGTTGCATGTTCCACTTCAGTTTCAGTTAGAGTCTCAACAGGCCCATGAGTATCCCAGCAAGGTTACATGAAAAGACTCAAATGAGTTATCTATTCCACATAGGTATTGCTTGTACATGAATTTGTGTCATTTTTCTGAACACACGTAGACTAGATCTGTGTTCTTGTTATTTCAATTTAAATATCACAATGCCAGAGACTTTGTTCCCTGTCTATACTTTATCCTATTATACTAAAATAAACCCTTGCTAAAAACATAAAAGTAAATATCATAATGCCATCCTTCTTTTTCCCCTTTAGAAAGCACTGTAGTAGCAACAGAGTCAAGAAGCTGAAAGTAAAACTGGTCAATATGGAAATAACCCTAATTACTTCATTACTAATTCAGCTTGACATTTCTTTAGTACTTAATATGTACTAGACTATGACACACATTAAAAGCAAAACCATCAAGAAGATCTAGCACTTGCCACTTAGGATCTTTTGTGTAGGAGAGAAAGGTTATTATGGGTACAGACATTATCATTATAGTATATTAAGTGATAACCCAAAATATGTATAAAAATTATGACTCTAGAGAGTGCAGTCAGGGTGTTTATTCCTGTTTGTTGGTAGTTTTGAGCGAAACCATGGGAAAGAAGATGATTGAGTTTAATATTGGTTGGGGTGGGGAAGGAATTCTTACCAAACAGCCAATGGAAATAGACATAAAACCACATGGAACCAATCAGATGTTGGCAATGACTTTTCAGGTTTAAGAGGAAATAATGAGATTAGAAAGCAGAGGAAATTTTAAGGAGGATTTTAGTTTTGAACTAGCAAAGAGATCGCTTTCAGGATTTTTTTAATGGAATGATTACATGGTTTAGCCATTCCTCTGATAACACTGTGGAGAGGAGGGGATTGCTCGTATGGCTCCTTGTACAGACATTGTCGGTAGACTCTTGCAGGGAAGATTTCCTGGTGTATTTATGCCTCATTGGTCATGTCTCTTTTCTATTGCTGGTTGCTGCTAATAATTCACAATTAAGAGCCATTCTAGCCTACATTGGTGAAGATTTGGAGCCATTTGATTCCCCAGACTCTCACCTCTTTAACTCATTTCTTATGGACTGTTTTTGGTAATTTTAATTGTTGGAGTCACATTATCTAATCCTGTAAGAATTCCAAGTCATTTTCAAGCATTCCATTGTGCTTAGGTCAGCCATTCTTTCTTTTCTTTTGGTAAACAGAATACAAATATTAATTTGATATTTAGCAGTTTTGAAATATTTGTTTTAGTGGTACTGGGGTTTGAGCTCAGGACCTCAAGCTTGCTAGTCAGGTGCTCTACCACTTAAGCCACACCCTCAGCCCTTTTTCATGTTATTTTTCTGATCAATTTCATGTTTTTGCCTAGGCCAGCCTGTGATTATAGATGTGTACCATCATGTCCACCTCATTGTTGAGATGGAATCTTGCTAACTTTTTGCCCAGGCAGTCCTCTAATTGTGGTCCTGAGAAGCTGGGATTATAGGCATAAGCCTATACACAAATTGGGCTGATCAAAATCTGTAATGTGCAAATGCTCAAAATGATATATACATATGACCAGTTTAAAGCATTTGGTGTGAGTTGAGATAGAACAAAATGGAAATATTTTGAGAAGATAGAGAGTAGGATGAGGGTAGCTGCATTTTGTAAACCTAATTATCAAAATTGTTTTCTGGGAAAAATTTTAAAGTGAAGCATATTTCTCTCTATTAAAACTTGAGTCTCAAGAAAACCCTTTGTAATGGTGGGATCTCAAGCACCATAAGGAGCAGAAACCAGAGATTAATGGGAACATGTCTGCAGACTGGCTATGTAGCAAGAGTTGTCATCAATACAATAATGAATTAGGCCACTGTACTTTCCCCAACACTATACCAGTAACATCAGAGACCAATGAGTTTTCTATTTTTACACAGGGTGTCCAGCAACACTTCCACCAGCTCCAGGTAAGATAACCTCCATTGCAGAATCATTCTGTAGTAATGATTCTTCTTGTAATGAAATATCAGGAGTCATACCTTTCAAAGTCATTATCCATGAAAATGTTAACAACATACTTAAAGTGCGTGAATTTACCTTTTATTCACCAAATACATAATAGGCTACTTTCTTGCTCACAAACAGATGCAGTCAAAGAAAACACACCTCGTTACTTAGATTCTTTTTTACAAAAAGGATTACCTGCTAGTTCTTTCATGTAATAATGTATTTTTATCAAAATGTTGACACTGCTCAGTTGATAGTGATCCCCATTTAACAAACAAGATAATCCCAAGGTCTTTTAGGATTGAACCATGGAAGAACAATCCAGGTTTGTGAAAGTGCAATAATTTTAAGGGAATTTTCCGAGTTCCCACTATTCTCAAGATAATGTGATGTGTTTTGCAGCCAGTAGGAAAAAACACTAAAAAAATTCTCTGACCTTGGTGCTTAGTAGAAAAGGGGATTTTCAAAGAATAACAGGTAATTTTCACATAAAGAAAGGAAAATTCACAGTAAAAAAGCAAAATACATATTCTATTGTGTATACACACTGTGTGTCATATATAGTGATTTTTGAGGGATTCACAGGTAATTTATTATAGGACTAGAATTTGAGAGCAAGATGTAGATTAGTCTAGAGCTTATAAATGACAGAAGTGAAGCCTAGTTAAGAAGGTAGCTTTGAGTCACAACATGAGAGATCTTGGAACCTAGAAAAAGGCATTTATTTTACAAGACTAAAGGGGCCCTTCAAAAGTCTTTAATCAAAGAAATATTAAGAATTAGGCATTAAGAAAATTGCTTTATTATGGTCAGTAAAATTGATTGGATCAGGAAGAGAGTTTAACCAGTTGAGTTTCTAAGTCAAAATACTAAGGTCACGGAGTAGTGCTGTAGCAAATAGAATAAGGAAAGGAAGGGATTAAAATGAGTGTCAAGGATCAGCATTTGGCAGAGACACGGTTGACAAGTGACAGAAACTAAGGAATCAAACCGGCCCCAAAGTTTTAAGTTTGAGTAAATGAAAGTATAATTTGGTCCTTAATAAGAAAAGGCCTCTCTAGAAGAGAAAACTGGCTTTAGGAACAAGATGACACAGTCTGTTTTCTGCACTTTGAGTATGATATTCTTCCGATCTGTTGGGATGCTGTCTATCAGGTGGAGAGCTCAGGAGATAGGTCTGACCTGGATAGAGAAGTTTGAGGGCCTTCGCTTGATGTTACAGTGGACATTATGGAGACAAAATCCTAGAGGAAGAATAGAGTCAAAAGGAGAGAGTAAAAAGAGCTTCTAGTAAAGATAGGATCTCCCCCATGTTACATTAAAAGAAAGGACAACATATTCCTGAAAGTGAGAGTGAATAATGTCAAGTATGACAGGGAAATTTAAAAACTGAGAAGGGTCTTTGGGTCAGGTAATTATAATGTCTTGATGACTTTTAAAGGATTATAGAAGCAAAAATCAGATTATAAATCAGTAAGTCAAAGACTAGCCCTAAAATTTATTGACCGCCACTTCCTAGAGAAACCCAGATTTATCCTTTTCTGGGGATTATAAAAATAATATTATATATAAACATATACATTTCTTTGGGATAGTTTGATTGAAATAGATTTGATTTATCCACCTTAAGGCACCATATAATCCTCCATAATACTGTGACTCTGAAATCCTAGTGCCAATTACAGTATTGGCCACCTGCTGGTTATCTATAAATAACAGATGGATATATTTTGCCAAATTTAATTAGTACTTATCATTTCATGTGAACAGTTTGTCATGGTCCACTTGGAGAAGAGAAATCTGTAAGTACATGGTTTTGTTCTCCTTTAATTCAAATTTGCTTTCATTCTTGTATGTGAACAGAAATCTAAACATGGTTTGTATTGTAGCCTGGAGACATATGGACATCCAATTGCCACGAATGCACCTGTACTGATGCAAAGTCTGTAGAATGCAAACCTAAGGAGTGCCCTTCTCCATCCACATGCAACACTGAAGAGAAGCTTATAACATTTAAATCAAATGATTCCTGCTGTGAAATTGGACACTGTGGTGTGTATTTGTAATACATTATTTGAATTGAACCTAGTCATTGCTTACTTATTAACATATTCAAGAGATGTTTTGAGCTAATCTGTGCATACATAATAGACGTGATAAATTAAACAGAATTAGTATTTTCTTCTTAAAATTTACCATCTTTAGAATGGGAAACTCAGAATTAACATTTATGAAAATAATCAGTAGATTGAAGGAAGATTATGGTATTACAAGAAGAAACGTAGCTGCTTGATAATTATAATCTCATCTATAATTTCTTTTTCATAAATAAAAGGGAATGATATTGCTTATTTTATAATAAAATAATGTATTTATTTTTCAGAACCAAGAACATGTTTATTTAATAATACTGACTATGAGGTAAGATTTTTTCTTGTCAGAAGTAGTCTATTATTTCTATAGTTATATAAATAAATGCTGTACAAAGCTACACCAAGGATCTTTCAGTGTTGAATATGAAAAAAAAACATTGGTAATGACTGAGGGGAACAGGTTCTTTTTTTCCCTCATATTTATTTCCAAAGGAACGTCAAACATAACACTCACTGAGGCTCTTTTCCAAGAGGGAAAATACACTCGATCATCATCTGCCCAGCAGTGGAGCTTCTGAACAAAATTTCCCATGGGCCTTTACAGATGGAGAAGGCATGGCATTCAAATCAATGAACAGGGATAACTGTAATTGCAACCAGAAAGATCAGATGGCCAAACTGTCAGAGGTTTAATAAGAAAACTCAAAGGACTAGAACCCCACTATGTGGATTTAGCAACACAGTGTATGCATGGCTGAGTCTTGACAATTGAGTTCACATTTTGGGAAAAGTTTCAAGAAACTGTATAACTCAGATGATGACCAAATTATTAATGCACTTGACCTGGTGCTACTACATGCCTTAAAAATCTAAAATAAAATATATGGGGTGTGCTAGAAGAGTTTTACTGTTATAAACTGTTTGCTGCAATCAGATTTCTGATGGGTTTCTCAAGTTTTAGTTTCCAAAGTTTATGGAACTTAAGAACCTATGATAGTTCCAACACAAAGTATGATGATGTTTAAAGAACAAAAGAAAAATTTCCAATAATGATATCAATACACATGTTAAGTTTGCATACAGTTGAAATTGTAGTATTTCATCTTGCTAGAAAGTTTGTCTTAGAATCTGAGGCTCTGAATCAGTAGTTTCTCAAACTGTGGAATATAAGAAAGTTTGAATTTACAGGAACACAGCAAGATAGAAGACATTTGGGGAGACTTGTCATTTCTGATCATCCTCGAGTATGCCCTTTTTTCCCTCAAACTGAGAGCCTAAAATCAGTGAACTTGTTGCTGACCATACAGTATCTTTCTTGAAAAGTTCAAACTATACTAGAGTAACAGTTGGTGAATTTTAACTTGAAGATGAAGGTCCTGACACATTTTGTGCTCTCAGGATATAGGAGACTTTCAATCCATCTTTTCTTAAATATTAACTTAATGTCATACATGCCTCTGGACAGTCACTAAACACAAATGATTTTTTAAAAACTGCATTAAATGTCAACTTTGAAAAGAAATCAAGGCAAATAGTAATAGTTTTTCTCTCTGTCTTCACTTTCCAGATTGGGGCTTCATTTGATGACCCCAGCAACCCATGCGTCTCCTACTTCTGCAACAACACTGGCTTGGTGGCAGTAGTGCAAGACTGCCCGAAGCAGACCTGGTGTGCAGAGGTAAGCTTCCTTCTGAGCTCATAAAGAGCAAGAACACTTCTCATGTTAAACATAAACCAAGCCCACCTTTGTTTCTCATTTGGAATGGTTTGCCTGTGGCCAACAGACAAAAATTTCTTGTCAGTTCCATAGATCTTTAAGCAAAGTTATTGTATACAGAATCAGATGATTCTAGAAGTGTCTACATTTTATTAAGTATATTTTCCATATTAAGGAAGTCTCTTTCTCTATTAAGCTTATAGTGTCTGGTATCATTAAACCTTTAAAATGTTTTTATATTCGCATGCTGTCTTCAAAATAGTTAAGTTATTGTTTTCTCTTTCTAGCTATTGTTAGGAAATCTTAATCTATTTTTTTGATAGCCTTATTTTTATTACCATGCTCACCTCCCTTGTTCTTACCCACCTCTGGATCTGACATGAGCACATCCATTCATTCCATTTCCCCTTTTCTGATACGATTTCAATAAATTACAAAATGTTATACTTCTTATAGGAAAAATTTAGAAGAGGTTTTCCATTTTTTTCTTCTTACTTCTATAGGAAGATAGAATCTACGATTCCAAAAATTGTTGCTATAAATGTAAGTAAACCTCCATATATAGGGAACATGTAAGCTCTCAACAAAAATTTAGCATTTCCTTAAAACAAATGGAAGAATAATTAAAAGTTTCCAGTGTCTTTAAAAAAATAATCTATCCTATATGTATAAACTACCAATTGATATTTATACATATTATACTTGGTACTTATTCTTGTTGGTTACAGCATTCTTACCTATAAAAACCAGGTGCATTTATAAGAGAAAAAATATTTTCATGGAAAATATTAGCTTGCTTTCCTAACATCAGCAAGTTGTGTTGTAAATTGGCATATTAGGGCATTACAGTTGGGTGATCAACAATGAGAAAAGGTTGTTAAAAATAATCCATTTCCTTTGTCTTCCTCTTCCTTCCCCTTCCTACTCCCTTACCTCCACCTCTTTCTTCCTTTCTGATAGTGATAATAACAATAATATTATTTATCTGATTATTAATCAGGATCTTTGTACTAGATGCTGAGATACTTTATCCCCTTAATAACACTGGGAAATAGTTAAGATTATTATTCCCTGTGGTTAAAGAAATGGGTGCTGAGCAATTGCTAAAATGTTAAATCTCACTTCGGTCTCTGTTCTTCATGTTGTTTTAGGTAAAAATGATTGCAGACCTTCTCCTGTGAATGTGACTGTTAAGTATAATGGTTGCAAGAAGAGAATTGAGATGGCAAGATGCATAGGGGAATGCAAAAAGACTCTCAAGTGAGTTTTCCTTGTGTGATGTGCATTAACTTTGTAACCTTGTGGAAGAAATAAAGCTTTCAAAACATTACATGGAAAAGTTTTTATGGGAGAGCAATACTGTTTGATGATAGGACACAATGGGAAATTTTTCTAAAATATTAAGCTCTGAGAATTAAAATACACATTTTAAAAAATGATGGGTCATTCTGAAGTACTTTTGTAAACATGCCTAACACATTTTTGGCAATTGCATTCTTCTTCCTGAAATAACTAGCAAGAGTACTTAAGCAAGAAATTGTTTATTAAATTATTTTCAAAGTTGACTTAGAATAAATAATATTATATATTTTCCTTTATGTGTAGTTTTACATATAGATTAATTTGTGGAAAATAATAATTTGGTATTAAATAGGATGTTTAAAAGTCTCTTTATGTTTCTGCACTATAATTTTCTAATTATGAGATTATAAGTTTTATTTTGGATTTCTTATTTTGGTTTACCATAGTAATTATCAAGGCTCCATATCAGATGTTTGTAGTGGGGAATGAAGAATGCGAGGTCTAGTTAAAGAAATCATTATTTGGAAGGCTGATAGACAATTTTAAATCGACACCAATGCAAAACTTCTGTCCAAATACATTCTAAAAATATTTATTACTGATTATTTTTCTTTTAGGTACAATTATGAACTCTTCCAGTTGGAAAATTCTTGTATTTGCTGCCGAGAAGATAACTATGAGTACAGAGACATTGCTCTTGACTGCTCTGATGGCACCACGATCTCGTACAAATACAGGCACACCACGACCTGCTCCTGTTTGGACCAGTGTGAACAGTCTCAAACCTCAGTGACACATTAGTTCCAATGCTACCTTTCCAGTTGTATTTATAAGTGAAGAAAAGCACTCATTATACAGTAAGAACAGCTAAACACTTGTATCTTTCTCAATAAGTGAGTACTCATAATGAGGCATTTTGTTCTCTTGTTGACTGGATCTGAAAAATAAACACAACTTTGCAAATACTTAGCATGTGTATTTGTTTTATGGCAATAAGAATTATGCAAGTCAAGCAGAAACTAAGGCCTAAGAAACTAAGACTCTTCAATATACTTCAGCCTCACAGCCTCTTAGGCCACTATGTGGTTTCATTTCTTCCCTTACTGCTTATTGAAACTGTAGTCTTCCTTCTGTTTTTCCACTTGGAATACCAGTTTCATTCCCCCTTCCCTCTACCATGGCACCCTCTTGGTAGATGCTATGACCCCTTTATAGTTTTTTCTATAGAGTATGACACCATTTCTTCACATTACTTGAAACATTTTTTCCTAGTTGTTCCTCTGACATTTAAATTAGCACTTCTGTTTTTGTGGACAGCTTTACTTCTTCCAATCCTACATTCTATTTTCCAAATTACATTCTATTCCTCTTCTCATTTTATTCAGGCTCCTTGGCAGATTTCATTGCACAAGTACATGTTTTTATACACTGAGTATTGCTAAACTATCACCAATCCCAACCTCTTCTCAGAATTCCAGGCACAATGATACCTCTTATACAAACTGTGATAAACAGTTAAGTGACATGTTTGTTTCCTACTTCTCCCATCTAAATCCTTGGTAGGGAAACTCTGATAATCATCAGAACAAGATCTATTATAGACTACCCATACAATTTTCCTAACCTTTCTTGGCATCCACCTCCAATTTTTTTTCCTTTTAATCTTTGGCTATTTATGCAAATTATTTGCTACTTCTCAGTATCAATGTAAATTCTAACTTCAGGCCAACCTTCTGTCTTACATAATAGTCAAAAAGAATTTTCCTTAATAGTTGTTTTTCATGGCCATCTCTGACACTGGCTGTCATGCTGCACACCTCACTTTTCACTGACACTGGGGCTGTAGATAATCTAACCTTAAGTCTTTTTTATCCTATGCCAAATGGAGATAAGTAATTATTCCCCACCTTAGTTCACTTTCTGCTGCTATAATTGAATACCTGAGATTAGGTAATTAATAAAAAAACAAGGTTTTTTTTTAATTTCCTTTATTCATATGTGCATACAATGATTGGGTCATTACTCCCCCATTCCCCCACCCTCCCTTTCCCCCCCACCCTCTCTCTCTTGCCCCCACCCCCTTGCTTCCAAGCAGATACTGTTTTGCCCTTATCTCTAATTTTGTTGAAGAGAGTGTATAAACATTAATAAGGAGGACCAGGGGGTTTTGCTAGTTGAGTTAAGGATAGCTGTATAGGGAGATTCCTAGTTTTGCTTCCATGTACATATGTGTTACTTTCTAAATTGATTCTTCTCCTACTAGCCTTTTCTCTAGTTCCTAGTCCCCTTCTCCTATTAGCCTCTGTTGCTTTAAAATTTCTGCATTACTCCTTTGCATTGAAGACATCAAATGCTATCTTTTTTTGGGGGGGGCAGCGGGGGGGTTAACCTACCTATCATACCTCCCTTATGTGCACTTGCCTTAACATGTAATCAAAGTCCTATCCCCTTGTTGTGTTTGCCCTTGATCTAAAGTTTGCATATGAGGAAGAACATACGATTTTTGGTCTTCTGGGCCTGGCTAACCTCGCTCTGGATGATGTTCTCCAGTTCCATCCATTTGCTTGTGAATGATAAGATTTCATCCTTCTTCATGGCTGTGTAAAATTCCATTGTGTAGAAATACCACATTTTCTTAATCCATTCGTCACTAGCAGGGCATCTTGGCTGCTTCCATAACTTGGCTATTGTGAATAGTGCTGCAATAAACATGGTGTACAAGTACCTCTGGAGTAATCTGCGTCCCATTCCTTTGGGTATATCCCCAAGAGTGGTATTGCTGGATCAAATGGCAGTTCTATGTTTAGACTTTTAAGAAGCCTCCAATATTTTTTCCAGAGTGGTTGTACTAGTTTACATTCCCACCAGCAGTGTATAATGGTTCCTTTTTCTCCACATCCTCACCAACATTGGTGGCAAAGAAACAAGGTTTATTCAGCTTACAGTTCTGGAGATAGGGAAGGTTCAAGATCAGAGGCTGTGTCTGGTGAGGGCCTCGTGTTGTATCCTCATTTGGTAGATGGCATCAGATGATGGACTCACCATAAAGGGCTTGATGCATTCCAACAATCTACTTTGGATAGTAATTAACACAGTTCCTGTGTCAAAAATAATCCATTCATGAAAGTTCCAGCCCCGTGATCTGAATACCATTAAACTCTACCTTCCAACACTTCCAACACCCAATTTCAATCAGGAATTAAACCTTAACATGAATTTTGGTGGGGAAAAGTTATATTTAAATCATAGCACCCCCTCCAAGAAAAAAAAAAAAAAACATAAATTCAGAGAAAGGTAGAAGCCACATAGGTTAAGAAACTATCTCATGGACCTGACTTGTATTTTTGAAACCTGAATGGGTCCCATCCTGAATATATGACTTCTGATTGGTGATACTCTGTTACTCTACATGTAAAACTCCGTAGCTAAATAAAAAAGTTAATTCCAGGATGAGCTGCTTTGGTTAATGGTCATCTGTTGGAATTTTATGCAGCCATGAAGAAGAACGAAATGTTATCATTCGCTGGTAAATGGATGGAATTGGAGAACATCATTCTGAGTGAGGTTAGCCTGACTCAAAAGACCAAAAATCGTATGTTCTCCCTCATATGTGGACATTAGATCAAGGGCAAACACAACAAGGGGATTGGACTATGAGCACATGATAAAAGCGAGAGCACACAAGGGAGGGGTGAGGATAGGTAAGACACCTAAAAAACTAGCTAGCATTTGTTGCCCTTAATGCAGAGAAACTAAAGCAGATACCTTAAAGCAACTGAGGCCAATAGGAAAAGGGGACCAGGAACTAGAGAAAAGGTTAGATTAAAAAGAATTAACCTAGAAGGTAACACCCACGCACAGGAAATCAATGTGAGTCAATGCCCTGTATAGCTATCCTTATCTCAACCAGCAAAACACCTTGTTCCTTCCTATTATTGCTTATACTCTCTCTACAACAAAATTAGAGATAAGGGCAAAATAGTTTCTGCTGGGTATTGAGGGGGGGAGCGGGAGGGGGTGGAGTGGGTGGTAAGGGAGGGGGTGGGGGCAGGGGGGAGAAATAAACCAAGCCTTGTATGCACATATGAATAATAAAAGAAAAATGAAAAAAAAAAAGGTCATCTGTTATTGCAGTATTGTCAGAAAGCTAGTATTTGCTAAAAATACAACAAGCTACTTCAGAAGGTGCTATTGTCTTGCTCTGAAACTCCGAAAAGTCTATTGCTATGATCATATTATAACTTGTCATTGGCTCTATTTACTTTTATTTTCTGCTGCAGATTCTTCTAGAACCATTGGATAAGCACAAATTATAAAGGAAAAGTAAAAGGAGCGTCTATAGAAATTTTTTAATCTGAAAAGCTGCTGCTTTGTTCAAAGTCTCTCTAGAATTAACAACTTAGGTCTTCCAGCAAATGGACCTATGAAAGATATCCATATATATTTCTTAATATTTCCCTAATCTAATTGGTCTATTTCCTAGTGTAAGTGAACAAAGTGCAACAGCTTGTTTTTTATGTTGGAGGTGATGGCTTATGATCTCTGGGTTTTTTTTTTTTTGGTATATGGGTGGTTGAACCCAGGACCTGGTACTTGCTAGACAAGTGCTCTACCGCTTGAATTATGCCTCAAGAAGATTTTGTTTTGGTTTTGAGATCTGATCTTGTTAACTTTACTCAGGTTGGCCTAGAACTCATGATCCTCCTGCTTTCACTTCCTGAGTAGCTTGGATTATACCATGCCTGTAATCATTATCAGAATGATCATCTCCAAATTATTAAGATTTAAACTAATTACAGGATATCTTAAATACAGTGACTCAAAAAAGATAAAAGTTTCTTTCTTTTCCATGCACAGAACACAAAGGTGGTGATTCAGAGCAAATATGACTGTTTGAGAATACTAAAATAAAATCAGAGATGAAAAGGGAGATATTAGAAGTGATACCACAGAAATATACAAAAGATTCTTAGAAATTATCATGAATAACTATATACTAATACATTTGATAATCTTGAAGCAATGGTCAAAGTCATAAACACTGATATCTTACCATGACTGAATCATAAAGAAGAAGAAAACCTGGATAGACTAAAAAACAGTAAGATTGTGAACCAGTTTTAAAAAAAGTTTTCATTAAAGGAAGTACTGGACCAGATGGCTTCATTGCTGAGCTCTAACCATCATTTAAAGAAGAATTAATTTGAATTCCTCTTAAATTATCTCAAAAATAATCAAGAGGAGTGAATTCATTCAAACTCATTCTAAGCTGTGACTATTACCCTGACACCAAAATCAGGCAAGGGCACAATAACAAAAACAACAAGAGAGTTATAGGCCAATATTCTCAATGCCCACAGATGTGAAAGTCTTCAACAAAATATTACCAAATCTAATCCAATGACCTGTGTTCACTTTATCATTTCTGTGACCAATTACCTGACAGAAACAACTTAAGGGCTGAAAGATGTATTTCAGTTTAGTTTCAGAGATTTTAATGCAGTGTTATTGGCTCTGCTGATTCTGGCCTATAGTGAGACAAAACACCGTAGTGTTGGGAGCATGTAGAAGAGGAGGTTGTTCACCTCATGACAGAGAAGAAGCAGAGGGAAAGAAAGGGACTCAGAACTAGATATAACCTGAGGCATACCCAGGAAACAGTGACTGTTTCCCTCAATGAGGACCTGTCTCATAAAGTTTTCAGAACCTCCCAAAATAGCACCACCAGCTGAGGACCAAACAGTCAACCATGAGCCTTTGAAGGACAATTCATTTCAAACAGAGCAGAGCATTCTGTTCCT